GATTCTGAATTTCATTATGTTGATGTGAGTGTGTAAGGGAGCCGATAGGTTTCGCATTTTCAAAACATTCGGAGTGTGAATTTTCGCGAACTAAGTTCCTCCCCACAGCATTCGAATGCATTTTGCGCATCTTTCTACAGTGACAGAGAACAAAACGAACTTGTAGTGGCGATCTTATATTAGCAGTTAACGCAAAACATGAAAGCGAGTATTACCTGCAGAAACAGGCGCACAAGCCCATCACCACGTACCTCCACCGTTTGATTGTCCCCACCATGCTACCTCACGCCGCTTTTCCGCATCGTGCGGCGGCGACAACGCCGTCAAAATCGGTTCTCCTCGTCACTCCCCTGGGTTCTAAAACCCCCACCGCACATAGTTCCCCAGGATTTCCCCCCCGTTATCCCTTCAGAATTCTCTCCGACTCGCGCACACTCTCCGCCGTCCCCACTCTCTCCGCCTTTCCCGCTTTATCCGCCTCCCGCTCCCCCTTCTCCTCTTCCTGCACCCCCGCATTCCTACTTAAACTCCGCCGGCCCAAACCAATCCGCCGCCTCTCCCATGGGCGGACTCCGCACCTCCCCGCGCCCGCGCGCGCGAGCGGCAGCGGCGGGAGAACCGGAGGCGGCGCGGACGCAGGCGGAGACGGCGCGGAAGCGGGGGACGGCGGAGCGCGCGCGGGAGGCGTGACCGCGGACGCCGCCGGAAATAACGGCGGAGATAACGGCGGGTTCTGGGCGACTTTGTCGTCCGCGATGCAATCGATGGCGGACGTGGTGACGCAGGCGCAGCGGGAGCTGCTGGAGGGGGAATACAGCGCGGGCACGCCATGGCTTGATGGTGCGGGGGAGGGGGGAGAGGGTTGGGGGGGAGGGAGGGGTGGTGGAATGAGAGGTGGGCTCGGAAGACGGGCGGGAGAGGGGACACTTTGGAAAAAGCAGGCGCAGCGGTAGCTGCTTGCGGGGAGGAAGCGGAAAAGGAGGAGGGGGTGGGGGGAGGGGGAATGAGGAAGAGGGGAGGGGGTGCTGCGTCGAGTTAAGTTGAGTGGAGTCTATTAAAGTCGGTCTCAAGTTGTTAGTTGCTCTCTTTTCGTGTGCTCACTCGTTTCCCGGGCGTTTCCTCGCCCACTTCCTCCCTCCACTCCTGTGGAAGCAGATGATGACGTGTCGCTGCTCCATTCGCAGATCACCCCGTACAACTTCATCAAGGTACTCATTGGTAAAGGCACGCAGCGGTTGGAGGGGAGATAGTGTGACGATGGCGATGGGCAGATGTGGTGGGCAGATGTGGTGGGCAGATGTGGTGGGAAGATGTGGTGGGCAGATGTGGTGGGCAGATGTGGTGGGCAGACGTGGTGGGCAGACGTGGTGGGCAGACGTGGTGGGCAAATGTGGTGGGCAGACGTGGTGGGCAGATGTGTGGGGTGCTCATGTTTCTGTCTATACTCTACCATGCCACATCTGCTTTTGAGGCGCCTCAAAACCACACATCCCACCTTCCGCTCTCCCCCTCTCCCCCTCTCCCACTCTCCCCCATTCCCTCTCTCCCCATGTCCTCTCCCTCTCGTCGTTCCTTCCCATGTGGCCCCCACCGCAGGTGGTGGAGGTATCACGCAGGGCTGACAACAGCCTGGCGGGCTCGCGAGTGCTGCTGCTGGACCAGCCAGGGAACATTCACTCCATGCACTTCAAATACAAGGTGGGTCGCCGTTGAGCCTCCTTAAGAATCGATGCAATGTGGGGCGCTGTTGAGTCGCCTCAACGCATATCTGCTTTCAGCTCGCGAGTGCTGCTGCTGGATCAACTGGGGAACATACACTCCATGCACTTCAAATACAAGGTGGGCCGTCACGTCACTGAGTCGCCTCAAGAATCGGTACAAGGTGGGGCGCTGCTGAGTCGCCTCAAATCAACGCATATCTGCTTTCAGCTCCGGGCGGACAACAGAGGTGACTTTTGATTTGAGTCGACTCAAAAGGCAGACAACAGCCTGGCAGGCTCGCGAGTGCTGCTGCTGGACCGGCCGGGGAACATTCATTCCATGCACTTCAATTAAGTAGAAAGTAAGTGGTTCTTGACTGAACCTGAGTGAGACGCGTCAGAAGACAGACATGGCTGAAAACATCCACGCACGCACTCACTTCAGATGCAAGGCGGGGACCAAGAGCAGCAAAGCTTTTTTCTCTGATGCTTTATTGCTCTCTGAATGAAATTCGACTCTTTGAAACGTCTCAAGACGTAAGTCGTAACTGTCGTAACAGATCTTCCCTTATGTCGTAAGTGTTGCTGCTGGGCCAGCTTTTGAATTGATTCATTAAAAGGCGTAAGTGTTGCTGTTGGACTGGACCAGCCAGCCAGGAAGTATCCATTATAAGGCTTGAATGCGTAAAGTGCTGTTGCACTTCAAGTACAAGCTGCCCTGCCCTCGCTCCTTCTACTATGTTCTCTCTTCGTTCTGCTGCCGCCGCTGCTGCCGCCTCTGCTCCCCATTGCTGGTCACATCACATTCTGCTTCCTGCCCCACCTCTTCTCTTCCCTCTCCCCATATACTCATATCTTCCAGTCCCTGGCCCTATCCCTGCCCTTATTCTCCCCCCGCCCTCTCCCTCCGCCCTCTCTCCCCGCCCTCTCCCCGCCCTCTCCCCCCGCCCCATTCTTTTTCCTTTCCGACGTGTTGGCCCACTACAGCCCTGGACGGGGTCCTACTACGATCTCTTCTCGCTGCTGCCCCCTCTGCTCCACCCATCATCCTATCCTCCCGCTGTTCCCTTCTTATTCCCTCTCTTATACCTTCCCCCATCCGCCATCCCCCATCCTCCCTCCCCTCCGCCACAGCCCTGGACGGGGTCCTACTACGATCTCTTCACGCTGCTGCCCCCTCTGCTGCCCTCCCCCTCGGGTCCCATTGCCATTCTCGGCCTTGCTGCTGGCACTGGCGCTCGGTGTGTGCATGCATGCATGGGTGCATGTATGGGTGCATGTATGGGTGCATGTATGGGTGCATGTATGGGTGCATGTATGGGTGCATGCATGGGTGCATGCATGGGTGCATGTATGGGTGCATGTATGGGTGCATGTATGGGTGCATGTATGCGTGCATGTATGGGTGCATGTATGCGTGCATGTATGGGTGCATGTATGGGTGCATGGGTGCATGTATGCGTGCATGCACATGTGCATGCGTGAGTGCATGTATGGGTGCTGCGTGGGTGCATGCACGTGTGCATGCGTGGGTGCATGTATGGGTGCATGCGTGTATGGGTTTATGGTTGGATGGCTGCATTGCATAGCATGCCATGGCACGGAATGGCGTTGTGTTGGACAGGGATCGCATGTTGTTGTTGTTGTTGTGCTGTGCGCACATCTAGTCCCTGCCCAGCGCAACTATCCCTACTTGATCTTGACCTTGATCCGGATCTTACATCTATCCCATCTCAACCCACTTTCTCCTAACCTTTTCATCGTGCTCTCTGTACTTTCCTCCTCCACCTCACTGTCATCCCCACCCTCCTCCCCTCCCCTCCCCTCCCGTCCCGTCCCCTCCCCACCCCTTCCCCCCTGCTTCCCAATGCTCCCCTCCCCTCCCCTCTGCACTGCGTGCAGGCTGCTACTGCGCCACTACCCGCACCTGGAGCTGCATGGCTGGGAGATAGACGAGCACGTCATTCAGGTCCGTCACCCTATGCTCGTCAACCTGCATTCTGTGGAACTTCCGTATGCATAGAGGTGATTTTTGAGGCGCCTAAAAAATCACCTCTTTTGAGGCGCCTCAGAAGTCAGCCTATGCTTGTCAACCTGCATACTATGAAACTTCCATATCTCTTGAGTCTATGGTTTTTCTGTTCCGTTCCAGCCTGTAATGTCAGCCATTGATAGCTCTCTGGCTCCACATTTTCTGAACTCCAGATGCACGTATCATCAGTGTCATCGCAGGTCCACAGGAGGATTTAACATATTGTGGAAAGAGCGTCTTGCCTTCTCCCCTTCCTTGTGTCTTTGTCTCTGCTCTCTCTGCTCTCTCTCTGCACTCTCTGCTCTCTCTGCTGTATCGTTTTGTCCTGGTCCCAGGTCGCCCGTGATTACTTTGATCTGGAGGAGTTGGAAGATGGTTCCTTTGCTGCCCAGCAGCTCAGACCTTACGTGCCTTTCAGCGATAGCGACACTGACAGTAACGAAGGAGACTGTGTAAGGGAGGAGGAAGAGGAGCAAGAGCACGTAACAAGAGCTGCAGCAGCAGAAACAGGAACAGCTACAGCTACAGAAGCAGACGCTTCATGTGTGGATGGCGTAGGCCGTCTCGTAGTGCACTGCGGCGATGCGCTCTCCTCGTCAGCAACTGTGCCGGGCGGCTTCGCAGGCATCATTGTTGATCTCTACAGCCGAGGCGCTGTTGTGGCGCCACTTCAGCGCGAGGACACGTGGCGCGATCTCAGCGGTCGGTTGCGCGAAGGGGGGAAAATCATGGTGAACTGCGGAGGGGGGTGTGTGGAGGGGGATGAGTCGGTGCAGAGGGATGGAGAGGCAATCATGCTTGCGACTTTAGAGGCCATGGCTGCAGTGTTTCCTCCTGAGTCTATCCTGTGTCATAGAGTGGGGGATGAGGACGGGGAGGATGATGGCAGTGATGACATGGATTGGGACGGTAATGTGATGGTGATTGCGGGGCATGATATGATGCCTTGGCCGCTGCTGCCTGCTGTGCCAGCACCAGCAGCGTCGTCACCATCACTGCCCTTCTTAATGCCATCATCATCGTCAGCATCATCACCCACATCCTCACCATCATCATCACCATCACCATCGTTACATCCAGGAGGAGTAGGTGGGGAAGAGAGCGAGCAAGCAGAGGGAGGGGGCGCTGTGAGGGAGTGGGAGGAGGAGTGGCGGGCACGGGTTCCTGCAGAGTTGGAAGGGAAGGTGGGGCAGTGGATGCCGCTGGGGAGATTCATGGAGGCTCAACGGCGACGCATGCGGGTGAAAGCAACTGCCCGCCTGCGGTGATTCTGTGCTGCTGGTGGCAGAAATGCCGGCTTCTGGCTGGGGTGACAGGTGCCATCAGTCGTAATGTATTCACCTTTGAGATGGATTCTCAAAGGTGAATCCAATATGACTAAGTTTATGTTGTGCTGCTGGCTAGGGTGACATCCGGACAGGTGCATTTATGGTACCGTAGTGGTGGTGCAGAAACAGCGGTTAGTGGTTGCTGGATGCTCTGGTTGATGTGGGGGGATTCTGGGAACTGTGGGGTCAGTGCATCAGTCGGCGATGGAAGAGGAAGAACAGGCGTACTTGGTCATCATGGGGCATGGCTCTCGTTCTCTTTCTTCTGCCCTCTTGGCCTTGGGGAAAATCTGTAACACTTGTAACAGCTAGCCATTCTAAAACGTCAACTGAAAGGATGTACCGTACATTTCATATGTACACTTATGTCTACCCGTCCATCCACCCGTCTACCCCATCAAAACAATCTGACTCAAAAGTATGCTTGAATATATGGCGACTAGCTTACAGTCCATGCCTCCTCTATGCCTCTGTGAACTGTACTCAGAGTCCTCTCCTGAAAGAGCAGCTTCCCTTTCCCCATGCATTCCAGCCTGGTGCTTCTCAAGCCAACTCTCACCCACCATCCACCTCTGCTTCTCAAAGCATCGGTCCACAGCCCTCTGTGCCTCTGTGAGCTGCAGCCTGGGCACGATGTTCATGGCGATCATCTCCTGGAACAGTAGCTTGCAGGCGTACGGCAGGTGCAACACGTGCGATGAGAACCCCATGAAACCCCCCTCTTCTTCCTCTTTTCTCTACGCCTCTGTGGGTGCCGAAGGCTGGGCACTCAGTTGACAGGCAATCATCCCCACTCCGCTACGCCTCTGTGAGCTGCAGCCTGGGCACGATGTTTTCATGGCGGTCATCTCTTGGAACAGCAGCTTGCATGCGTACGGCAGGCGCAGCTCCTGTGATGAGTGAACGCCTTGTGAAACCCATCCCTCTCCTCTAGGCCTCTGTGAGCTGCAATCGAGGCACGATGTTCATGGCGGTCATCTCCTGGAACAGCAGCTTGCACGCGTACGGCAGGCGAAGCTCTGCCACATGCTCTCCCGTGCGGCACAGCGAGCACATGGGCGCTCGCAGCTTCTGGTGGAAGTACCCCAACAGCCCGCACATGGTGCACACCTGCAAAGAGGGAGCGAGAGAGGAGGAGAAATGGGTGAAGTATGAGCAGAAATAAGGATGTAGCTCCAAATGCATGCGTTCGGCACAGCGAGCACATGGGCGCTCGCAGCTTCTGGTGGAAGTACCCCAACAGCCCGCACATGGTGCACACCTGCAAAGAGGGAGCGAGAGAGGAGGAGAAATGGGTGAAGTATGAGCAGAAATAAGGATGTAGCTCCAAATGCATGCGTTCGGCACAGCGAGCACATGGGCGCTCGCAGCTTCTGGTGGAAGTACCCCAACAGCCCGCACATGGTGCACACCTGCAAAGAGGGAGCGAGAGAGGAGGAGAAATGGGTGAAGTATGAGCAGAAATAAGGATGTAGCTCCAAATGCATGCGTTCGGCACAGCGAGCACATGGGCGCTCGCAGCTTCTGGTGGAAGTACCCCAACAGCCCGCACATGGTGCACACCTGCAAAGAGGGAGCGAGAGAGGAGGAGAAATGGGTGAAGTATGAGCAGAAATAAGGATGTAGCTCCAAATGCATGCGTTCGGCACAGCGAGCACATGGGCGCTCGCAGCTTCTGGTGGAAGTACCCCAACAGCCCGCACATGGTGCACACCTGCAAAGAGGGAGCGAGAGAGGAGGAGAAATGGGTGAAGTATGAGCAGAAATAAGGATGTAGCTCCAAATGCATGCGTTCGGCACAGCGAGCACATGGGCGCTCGCAGCTTCTGGTGGAAGTACCCCAACAGCCCGCACATGGTGCACACCTGCAAAGAGGGAGCGAGAGAGGAGGAGAAATGGGTGAAGTATGAGCAGAAATAAGGATGTAGCTCCAAATGCATGCGTTCGGCACAGCGAGCACATGGGCGCTCGCAGCTTCTGGTGGAAGTACCCCAACAGCCCGCACATGGTGCACACCTGCAAAGAGGGAGCGAGAGAGGAGGAGAAATGGGTGAAGTATGAGCAGAAATAAGGATGTAGCTCCAAATGCATGCGTTCGGCACAGCGAGCACATGGGCGCTCGCAGCTTCTGGTGGAAGTACCCCAACAGCCCGCACATGGTGCACACCTGCAAAGAGGGAGCGAGAGAGGAGGAGAAATGGGTGAAGAATGAGCAGAAATAAGGATGTAGCTCCAAATGCATGCGTTCGGCACAGCGAGCACATGGGCGCTCGCAGCTTCTGGTGGAAGTACCCCAACAGCCTGCACATGGTGCACACCTGCAAAGAGGGAGCGAGAGAGGAGGAGAAATGGGTGAAGTATGAGCAGAAATAAGGATGTAGCTCCAAATGCATGCGTTCGGCACAGCGAGCACATGGGCGCTCGCAGCTTCTGGTGGAAGTACCCCAACAGCCCGCACATGGTGCACACCTGCAAAGAGGGAGCGAGAGAGGAGGAGAAATGGGTGAAGTATGAGCAGAAATAAGGATGTAGCTCCAAATGCATGCGTTCGGCACAGCGAGCACATGGGCGCTCGCAGCTTCTGGTGGAAGTACCCCAACAGCCCGCACATGGTGCACACCTGCAAAGAGGGAGCGAGAGAGGAGGAGAAATGGGTGAAGTATGAGCAGAAATAAGGATGTAGCTCCAAATGCATGCGTTCGGCACAGCGAGCACATGGGCGCTCGCAGCTTCTGGTGGAAGTACCCCAACAGCCTGCACATGGTGCACACCTGCAAAGAGGGAGCGAGAGAGGAGGAGAAATGGGTGAAGTATGAGCAGAAATAAGGATGTAGCTCCAAATGCATGCGTTCGGCACAGCGAGCACATGGGCGCTCGCAGCTTCTGGTGGAAGTACCCCAACAGCCCGCACATGGTGCACACCTGCAAAGAGGGAGCGAGAGAGGAGGAGAAATGGGTGAAGTATGAGCAGAAATAAGGATGTAGCTCCAAATGCATGCGTTCGGCACAGCGAGCACATGGGCGCTCGCAGCTTCTGGTGGAAGTACCCCAACAGCCCGCACATGGTGCACACCTGCAAAGAGGGAGCGAGAGAGGAGGAGAAATGGGTGAAGTATGAGCAGAAATAAGGATGTAGCTCCAAATGCATGCGTTCGGCACAGCGAGCACATGGGCGCTCGCAGCTTCTGGTGGAAGTACCCCAACAGCCCGCACATGGTGCACACCTGCAAAGAGGGAGCGAGAGAGGAGGAGAAATGGGTGAAGTATGAGCAGAAATAAGGATGTAGCTCCAAATGCATGCGTTCGGCACAGCGAGCACATGGGCGCTCGCAGCTTCTGGTGGAAGTACCCCAACAGCCCGCACATGGTGCACACCTGCAAAGAGGGAGCGAGAGAGGAGGAGAAATGGGTGAAGTATGAGCAGAAATAAGGATGTAGCTCCAAATGCATGCGTTCGGCACAGCGAGCACATGGGCGCTCGCAGCTTCTGGTGGAAGTACCCCAACAGCCCGCACATGGTGCACACCTGCAGGGAGAGAGGAGGAGATGTGGGTGAAACATGAGCGGGAATCAGGGTGTAGCTCCAAGCGTGTGTGCTCCGCACAGCGAGCACATGGGCACGCGCAGCTTCTGGTGGAAGTACCCCAACAGCCTGCACTTGGTGCACACCTGGGGTTGGGAGGGAGAGGGAAGCAGGGGTGCGGTGCGGAAGGTACAGGTGGGGCTGGGGTAGGAGGGAAGACCAGGAACTGGGCGCTGGAGATCCTAAGGCGCTCCAGCCAGAATGAGCTTGCTGGGGCGTGACTCATGGTCAACTGTATGAACCACCTTGACTCTTTTCCAACAGCAAGCAAGAACCACTAGGTGACAAGGCAAGGCGGCAAGAGCTGGTGAGCACTCGTCACAAACCTGTACTTGGAACTGGTCGCTGGAGATCATGAGGCGCTACAGAATAAGCATGCTAGGCTTAGGGTTTAGAGTGCACAGACAAGACAGAACGAAACCAACTCAGAAAGCACCGGGTGACAGGGCGGCAAGCCCTGGTGCGCATGTGAGCAAGCACGCACCTGTATTTGGAACTGGTCGCTGGAGATCATGAGGCGCTCCAGAATGAGCATGCTGGCGCCATATGCGATGAGACAGTCGCGCTCCATCTCTCCCAGACGCAGCCCTGGAGGGGGTTGGTTGGCACGCACGGGGCAGGGCAGAGGGGATGAGTGGGTAGCTTTTGACACGTCTCACTGAGACAGTTGCATTGAATCTTGCCCCGGGTAGTGCTGGTGGGATGTGGCATGGGGGAGAGGAGGTGAGGTGGGTGGGGGATAGGGTGTGCGTGCGAGCGCGAGAGCACATGCATGAACATGTGTGAGAGTTTTTAAGAAGAAAAAGAAGCAGAGGAACAAGAGGAAGATAGAGGAAAAGAGGGTCACAAAGAGAGAGGGAGACTGACCTCCGTCTCGACTCCTCCCCTCTGTGGGCTGTCGTGTGAGCACAACTCTCGGACCCCTGGCACGCGCATGCATCTTATCCATCACCTGAACCAAGGAGAGAAGAGCGCGGAGAGAGGAGAGACGAGGAGAGACAAAACAAGACAGAAAGGAGGGCGTGTGAGGAGGCAGAGATAGCGATAGGAGAAGAGACAGGAAAGGAAAATTGGCAGGTTAGCGAGTGAAAGCAGCACAGGAAGATGTAACTATACAATGTTGCACGCTTGCTTGTTACTGATGACCTGCAACACAACCAGTAACCACACTGCACAGTTGGTAACTAACTATGCTGTGCAACTTGTAACCCTACCATGTGCTTGAGCTTCTGATAGTAGACTGGCCCGGCGTAGATGTATGCTTGCAGGGGCTCGCCTGACAGGCCTGGTGGGTGGGGAGGGGACGGGGAGGGCCGCGAGAGGGAAGGGGATACAGATGCAGTGGCTGAGAAGAAAG